TGAGTAGTTTCAGGTAGTCAGAGAAATTATAAGCCACATTATGATTTTGTTCTTTGACCCATATTTTCTATGCTAAAATTAAGCCTTCAGGATAAGGTAAAGCAGAAAAATGGGTCATAATGACACTGTTACCTCAACCTCTAGTGGGACATTATTACTAGAAGAGATTTTTTTTATATTAAAGGTTGTATTGTGGATTATACTACCTTTTCACTAAACACATTACAAAACGTATTCTCAGATTCACAAGTAAGTTTTAATGTTCCATAAAACTACCCTCTTGTCATCACCTTTGTCATTCTGTTTTCTCCTTGCTCAGTAGAATATACATCATTTACTTCACTTCATTTACATCATCCAACTCACAGACTTGGAAGTAGGATCAATGAGGAATTCATTGCATACATGCTGAGATCTCCTGGGCAGATTTTAACGGCAAGAAGACCAGGAGGCTTTGCCGTTTTGTTTCCTTCCAGCCCCCAGTCCCCTTTGACAAGTTTTACTAGCTATTGGGTAAAGAGATCCCACAGAGATCTATTTGGTTAAGAGTCATACACATACACATCCTTCATCCCACACAGGAATCAAATTCTTATACACAGATATGCCAGAAGAAGGGAGTTGGAGCCACAAGCCATCCTTTTCAAAAGCTATGACTCCAAATCCAAACTACCACTCTGCCAGAACTACTCTGTAGATATAAAAGTGTCGCAGGCTCTAAACCAAAGGGGTACTAGTGAGTAGTCTGCAATTACCCCCCTTAGTTTGCAATACTTATTTTTCCAGATAACAAATCAAAACAAGACCTGTTTGTCTGATTACAATGTAATTCATTGACGTTAAAAGGAATGTGTATGAGATAGGGGCACCTGGGTGGCTTGGTGGTTAAGTGTCCAACTCTTGATTTCAGCTTAGGTCACGATCTCAACGGTTTGGTGAGTTGGAGCCCTACATTGGGCTCCGTGCTGACAGCGTGGAACCTGCTTGGGATTTTCTCTCCATCTCTCTCTGCCCTTCCCCTGCTTGTGCTCTCTCTAGCAAAA